TGTTCAAAATATTAGTTTCAAATGGTCAGTTTTTTTGGCTATTTTTGGGCTATATCTCGTAGAAATTTGGCGGGTCTGATTACGAATACTTCGCAACCCCTGTGAGTGGTGTAGTAACTCGCAAACTTGCTCCTAACACGGTAATTGTATAAATTGCCGTAATTATTTTTATTTCATTTTTTTGTGATGAAAAAAGGGAGATGCAGTTGGGCACATTGGCGTGAAACGTGGAACAGATGGTTTGGAAGTATTTTCTGTCAGAGCCATGAGACCTCCAACATTATGGGAGGTAATCGTCTCCGTTGGCCGAGAGGGATCGGTCGTGACCATAAATATGGCTAAACATCTAGTCGGAGCTCCTCCCAAAAAGAGCAAGTCAGCGCTTGTCGTAAAGCAACGCCGTCTGAAAAACGTCTGTCAGGAGTATCATATTGTCCCGAATGACAAATGAGGAGGAGGAGAATAACTGAAGAAACTAAACGCTTAATGCTGCGAACTCGTGCCTAAAACTAAATAGAAGGTTAGCGTCGCAGGCGTCGATGTCGGCGAAACAGCACAATTGAGAGCTGGGCGAGACTGACTCCGGCTACCCACGCCGAGGAGCCCCTTATGTAGGCGCGTTAAAGCTTCTTTATACGGAAAAGTAACGACATCCTTTGAAAAATTGCCACCTGCTAACTTGGAGTGATCCAGGCGGCGCTACCGTCGACGTGCGAGATTGCGAAAAATCAAATAACTAAAATAAAGGAACGTGCACAGGGAAGGAGGAGTTGCCATCCAATCAATTAAAACCGAAAGTGTAACGTCACGGATTCCATAGTCTTTATTCGAGCATATTCTTAGCGGTTTATCTACTTGAACGCAGAGGGTGTGCCCTGACAGTGCTCTTTAGTACGGGTATTTGTTGTTACCTTGGAGCGATCTAGGCGGCGCTACCGTCAATGCGCGAGTGCTAAAGGGCAAAAAATGGAGATAAAAAGTGTGCACGTCAGAGAAGGAGGGTTGTGATGTCGCTACCTTCCTTACTCAGGGGCCTTAAAGGGGCCCTGCAATCATATTTAAGCGTCTACCTTTTCTGCGATTTCCACGTCACTTGGGGTTTGGGCAAGCCAGCGGGCACAGAGAGAGTAACTAAATATCAGTGCGTCATATTTTAACCGGACGACGCGGAAACCTCCTCCACTATGAGGGCGACCTCCGCTGCCGAAAGCGCGCAATATGTGACGTCTTTGGTCCTGGGCTTACTACTAATCAAAGCCGCTAAAAGCTTTTTTTTTTTTTTTTTTTAGCCGAGATACAAAATATAGGTTACGCGAACCGTTTCAATTATGTATGAAAGTAGTTTTTGTTCAGTATTTTAGATCAGAAAAGAAAGAAATTCAGTTTATAAAGTACGGAAACAAGAAATGACCCGTCGGCATACCCGCCACCAAGCGGCGGACAAATGGCGCATACTAGAAAGGGCCAGTGGAAAGAGGCGCCAACGAACGGCGAGCGTATAAAGGTCCCGGATGCACGCGGCGGTCCTACGATCGTATACCGGCTCGAGGATCCGACCGGTTCCGAGCGTGCCGAAGGCTTTCGGCGCGGGCTTGGCTGGCGATTTGGCCATTTGGCGGTATGGCAGCACGAAGTGGCTCCTGTTTTGAACTGATCTTTCCCCCGTGTTTGCTGTCGTTTGTGGCCAATGAAGTGTTATGCCGAATTAGTCTTTAATCGCGCAGCAAAAGCAATGCGAGCCGCCCTGGCCGCCCGCTTCATACAGCCTATCCTACACGTGCTTTAGTGGCGCCCTCTCGAGCCGTCGACACGGAATGCGGCAGCCATGAGCGCTCGATGAGCTCACTACCCCTCCTCTATAGTTCACGGCCACTCAAGCCAGGACCTACGACGTCATGAAGGAGGTTATTTTTTGCTTGTTTTAGAGCGCAGCTCTTAGGCGCCCGTTTCCAGCTTGAGCGGCGTCGCCGTCGGCGTAACCGCGCGGTGCATTATGGGTAAATTTCCCCGCTAAATCTAGTGAAAAATTTTCCCCGCTAAATTTAGCAAACAATTTCCCCGCTAAATCTAGCGGAAAAATTTCCCCGCTAAATTTAGTGGAAAAATTTCCCCGCTAAATCTAGCGGAAAAATTTCCCCGCTAAATCTAGTGGAAAATTTTCTCTGGGGGGTCACGTGACCTGGGGGTGACGTGACCCCCCGCCGAGGTCACGTGACCACACCCCCAGGTCACGTGATCTCCCGGAGAACACGTGACCCTCAGTACCCTTCCTCCTCCTCCTCAAGAGCTGCGCTCTAAACCGGCGTTAGAGAGTTGTAAACGGCTTTTATTTTTGTAATTATAATTTGCCTATAACTTTTAAAATAAAGCGAAATTTGAGAAAAGTTTCATCAAGATGCTGCATTGAGTGCGCTCAGGTTCAGTGCGAATTAAAAACCAGTCAAAAAGTTGTTGCAGGGCCCCTTTAAGACGCGTGAGTTTCTGGAACAATCGGAGTAGAAGGTTCCACGCGTAGACCATTATCACCTCGAATAAACAACAGTTTTCTCAAGTTTACCAGAACGCGACATTACAGAAACAACTAAAAGGTGAATCCAGGCCCAGGCATCCAACCTCAACTTTTCGCGCGGGAAGCCATCACGATAACAGTTATGTCACGGGCGCACTGCCTACTTGGCTAGATGCCCGCGCGGCATTTCTCCCTCCTTTAAGAGGTGTATCGCCCCGATGCCACAAAAAAAAAAAAAAAAAGCAGAGCAAATAAAAATAACGGCAAACTAAGGATTCATTCCGTGCCGAAATGAATGGAAGCAAAGACGTGTGCGGAAAGTGCTCCGCACAGTTTTCTGGCCGTCAACGATTCCTGGCTTGAAGTGGCATCTGCAATGCCGCTTTCGCCGTAAATGCCTTCATGTTGAAGGCGACTATTACGGCTTTTACATGTCCAGCGGAGTGACCACGCACAAATGTGCTTCGTGCACCAAGCGCCGTGACCCGGACAGTGCTGGAATTATCGATAAAGAGCCTATTGTGGTTTCCGTGAGTGATGATGGCGAAGATCATGTGGGTCCGGACGCTACTGGGAAGCGCGCCTGCGGACTCGGCGGGCTTGTAATGCGGCTCGTACGAAAAGTGGACAAACTCGTCAGCACGGTTCAATTTCTTCGAGATGACAACGCTGCCATTCAAGGTGACCTTCAAAAATTGAGCCTAGAGCTTGTGCAGATCCGTCCGGCCGCTCCCACCCTGGAGTCCCATCTTCCACGCATTTCTCTCGCCCCTTCGCACGTTTTTCCCGCGCCCTGCCAGGGCCGAACAGCAGTGGTGTGAACTTAGCGAGAAAGTCGCTAAATTTAGAGTGTTTTCAGTCGTCCTAACGACAATTTTGTGTTTTTGGAGTCTTAGCGACTTTTTTGGGGATTTTTTTTTTTTTTTTCCAGTTATGTAAATTGTTATTAAAGCTACGTGAACGGGGGGGGGGGGGGGGGGATGCCCAGTCGGATAGCTCTCCGGTGGCTTCCAGGGGACAGCTCTGGATGTCATTCATTTTTATTAATTTTTATTCATCCGGTTGTGGGTGAGGTGACGTTCTCCGACCCCGAAGCAATTCCCCCGCTTTAACGCGGGTTAAAGCGAGGGTTTTGTTCGATAAGGATGAAGCAGAACAGCCTTCCGCTGTTTTGTTCAGGGACCAGGATCTTCTCGCCAACGCCTTGAGTCACTCAAGGTGTTGGCGAGTCCCTTGGAAATGGGACGGCCGACTCCAACTATTCACTTGTCTCGTCACAAAAAAAAAAAAAAAAATTACGTTTTATAAAAAAAAAAAAAAAAAAAAAAAATCCGAAAAAGGTCATCATCATCATCACCACTCAGCGACTTTTCGCTAAAACTGGCGACTTTTAGGTCGCGTCCTGGCGACTTCGCCCAAAAAAACTTAACAGCACTGCCGAACAGCCCATTCCCTGCTCACCCGGATCCGTGGACGGGGGACCGCACGCATACGGCGCGTCATCCCCGCTCGGGGATCTTGCGGGGACCGTGACAAGGGCGTGCGTATGCACGTGAACGGATCGTGGTGGGCACGTGATTGATGGGGGCGGGGATATAAAAAGGGAAGAGGGACAAGGGGGGCCTTTCTTAACCTGCGGACTGGACAGTGGGTACGACGACAACGAGGGGAACAACGAGGACGACGAGGACAGGACGCTCACCACCGACGCGTGAGTTGAAGTAAACGGTTCCAAAAAAAGTGAAAGCCGTTTACAACTGCCTGTAACGCCGAATTGGAGCGCAGCTCTTGAGGAGGAGGAGTGAAGGGTACTGAGGGGAGTGTAGACCCCTCCTCCTTCTCCTCCTCCTCCCCTCATTCTTTAATATTCTCCGGGGGGTCACGTGACCTCGGGAAGGGGGAGTCACGTGACTTCGGGGAGGGTGGTCACGCGCCGAGCGTTTCGCCGCAGTAAGGTTGCAACGCCTATTGGCTGAGAGAAAAAGCAAAAACAAGCAAAACAACACAAATCGGATGTGACGTCAGTTTTTGTTTTGTTTCTTTTTGCTTTTCTTTGGTGTGTAGAGTATTCTTTTTTTTTTTTACTTTTTTGTTTCTCCGAGCGTTTATTTGGCGCCTTTCCGTGCGGTCGCGTCGGTTCCAACGGTCTTTCTTCTTGTGTACGTTGTCGTGTTATGGTGTTGTGTGCTGCGGTATATTGCCGAGTGTAATAATCATGGGGGTGGTCGTGATTTCAACCCTTGGAAACGAGCGTCGGCAGTGAACTCCACAGCGCATTCATGCAAGCTATACTCCGTTTCACCTTCAGTCCGAGCGCAGTGGACGCCACGAGCCATCCCAGCCGATCCAGCGCCGGGAGAAAGTCGCGTGACCTGCCGGTGGGGCGGGGCGACGCAGGGAGCTCAAGGTCGCATGACACTCCCTCAACGCCGCATTGGCTGGAATGGCTTCTAGCGTCCGCTGTGCTCGGACGGAAGGTGAAACGGAGTATAACAAGCCCCGTCTCGGCACATCGAGGCCCGCGGGACGCTTCTTCGGAACGTAAAAGGTGAGTGGAATTTACCTACTGGTGGCGTTCGATCGTTGATTCGACACCGCTGTGGTGGATTTTAGCGTTGGGGACGAAGAAGAGGAACATAAAGATATTCAGCGGGGGTGGCATCTGGCTCACGGTGCCACCTGCGCCGCATCTGCATTCAGTAATCGCACTTCGCCTTGGGAATGTCAGCTTTTGACGAGCTTTATCAGTCACAAAAGCGCTCTGTCGAAAGACGGGATTTGACAAACAGATCAGGCATCGCAAATGGACGTCCCGGCGCGTCTAATTTGTGGTGGGTAATAAATAATGTTACTGTCCACCTGGTAGGCCTACTTATTTAGAGATGGTGTTTTCTGCACCAATACTGTATTCTGCCTCGTGGTACATTCGCACCTGCGGCAGAACTGCTAAGCGGTTCTGCTACAGGTTAATAGCGAAGAGTTGTACTCTTCCATAATGTGCCTCTCCGTCCCACTTCTCCTTTGGTATGCCACCGGTTGTATTTTCTGCTACATTTTGATCAGAAAGCCAGTGCGAGACATGCATTATGGATGTACTACATTATCCAAAATAATGCTTGAGCATGAGACGAGGTAATAATTCACCGGCACGCGCACTTCTTATGGTTATTGTTTTGTTCGGTGTAAATTTTCCACCCCAGGTGTGCGATGCTTGCGGCTGATGGCTCCTACCTACGTGCATCAAAGAGCGGGCCTGCACCTTTGCCGAGACAGCAGTGAAACATGAAGAGTTCTGGGTGACTGCAGCGACTGGGTCACCGACGCCGCTCCACTTCCCGCACCGCACTCCGCGTGGGTCAGAGGGCCAGCGCTTGCCCTTTATGGGCTGTCGCCAGCCACAGTAAGTATGGCTTTGAGCCACGTCATGCGAGTGAAATGCTTGTCACCTGAGTGCTGTCGGTGGGGCTATGACTGGTGGTCTGCGATCACAGACCATCAATCACCATTGCACTGCTCCTGGATAAACTAGCCGCTCTTGAGGAAGAGCAGAGTGTTTTGAGAAGAGCTATGGTGTCCGCTTTTTCACTAGCTCCAGCTGTCGCAACTGACATTTTGTCGAAAGGAGCAACATCTATGAACGAGTAGACGGCGCTGAATGGCCGCAGGGGGCCTTGCCTCTTACCAAGGGGGTCGAGATCGCCCCACTTGTGTGGTCCATTAAAGGGCAACTCCGCTTCATTTTTGGTTTTGAAAAAACAATGCAGTCCTCTTCAGTATCGCCTAAGAAGACCACACGTCAAATATTACGACGCAGTTCTTTCTAAATGTTTCTTAAACGGTCCGGCAAACTTTGCAACTCATCAAGTTGCCGAAATCGGCTGACTCGAGCGGGCGAATTCAGGCGCAACCAACAGCGCAGTCAAGGCTACGGCATGGGCGGAGCCAACATTGAGCTAAACGCCATCTACATGGCCCCATTTTGCTTGTTTTTACTTCTCCGATCGAGCGTAGCGCGTGACGTCAGCAACCTTGCCTCTCGGCGCTCAGCGGTGTCCACGTGATTGACGTACGCGCCTGCCCAGCGCGCTTCTTGGGAGCAGACCAACCGCCCGCCGTGGTCCCGCCGTTACCGCCGTCTTCCGCGTCACAACCACCGTCGTCGTCTCACCGTTCGTGATTATTGCCTCTCGGAGTTTCGTCCACACTATGGACACCACATGCGCAGAGTCCCAGACTTATGCCGCAGTTGTGCAGACGTCGTCGAATGCCGTAGACACCAAAACGTGGCGAAGAGTGCGGAGCAGACGACACTCGCGCCTGCCGCACGCCCGCCCGCCCCCATCCCGCCCGTCTTTGGGCCGAGGATCACGTGACCTCTCGTACCATGTGATGGCCATGTACTTGGCGGCCCGAGGCCAATGTTGCCGGACGGATCCGAAGTTTCGATTTCCGCTCGTGTTTAAAGTTAGATTTAAAAATATATATCCCATTTTTCGCTAAGCAAAAGCCGTAGTGTCTTTTACTAGGGCTTTTTAATTCGAAATCAGTCATTATCCCGAAATCTTCGGAATTGAGCGGAGTTGCCCTTTAAGTCTTCGCAAAACCAAAGTGAGGAGATGTTGGTTGCGAGAAAAGAGCGCAAACTTTAAAAAGGCGCATGTGCGCACAGGGCAATATCTTTTTGCATTGAAATATCTGTGAAGGGTATATGACAACACTCTGCATTGTTTTATTTATATCAAAACCAAAATAAGGGACTTTAAAGTGCCACTTCAATGACGTTAGGGGCTAGGAGAGAAGCAGGCGGCATCAGATGCTGTTCCACCCAAGCTTAACTGCTAGGGGCAAGCACACAGACTGATCACTTGTATGGCAGTGAGACTGCCAAATTCTCAATAATCTAACAAATAATCGAACTTGCAGAACTTTCGTGTCCTGGCCCCTTTAGCATTTCTGAAAAGAGTGTACGTATCAGATGATACAAAGGTAATCCACCTGTCGTTTATTTGAGACCCGTGTCAAACGAAACGGCAATATCAGTCCAAGTATCGGTTTACGACGATACTGAGCCCACCACCAAGTTCACAGCCATCCAAACCAGTGTGAAACTGGCGACCAATATTCTAACCCTGAAATTAGCTAGGGCTGTTCGCACAGAGAAGGAGCACACCTCAGAGAAAGCGTCGCCTTCCGTTCCGCCAGGCGTGCCTAGCCTTCAAATTTCTTGTGTTTGGGAAGCAGGCATGCTCGGTAGAATGTTCCCAACAAAACTATTGGCAACCGAGAGAGCAGTCCCCGTCTTCGGTCCAACCTATGCATAATATTATTGGTGCGTAGAGTTTCACCCGGCAGTCTACATTTTTTTTTTACTGTTCTACTGTACTATCCTGTCCGCTTCAAGAAAGCGCTATTTGTCGAAATACTTTAATTTTGCCAAATTTTTGTCACGGTCAGAAAGACCTGCCTCAGCAGACGGTATACAGATGAAAATTAGTGATTGATTTAATTTGACACCAGCTATTAGTGGCATTGCACACGCTGATTCAGGCGCAACTCTGAATGCCTGTGCGGCATTCAGAGTTGCGCCTTGCGTGCTAGCAGAGCGGGTCGTGCGTGCATACTGGGGCAGGTGCCACGCTGCCCAGTGAATTGTCTCAGAGTTCATGGCTTGCACCTTTGATAGCTCTACTTCTCTGCGGTTGTGCATTGCCTTCCGTGTTTGGGTCTGCTACATGCTTTCTTCTTCACATTCACTGTAGGTTCAGAATTCCCTGCCCCTGAATCATGGATCAAGCCTTGCCAAACAGTTCTTTTGGGGACCACCACTTCTTCATGGACAGAGTCTCTCCTCCCGTGTCTTGCATTTAAGTATATTTTCTGGCACCTCTTTTTAGACAGTAGTGCACAAGTGCTCCCTCCGTATTTCGCGAGTAAACCTCGGTCAGTCGACACACCAGGTCACTGTCAACCAAATGCAATATCTTAATGGAGCCCGGCAGAGAACATTGACTTCACCAGTATTAATTTCCTGGCCTTGCTAGCAACTTCAACGAAATAAACATTGCATTACAAAAAATTCTTGCCGCGGTGGCAAATGGTTGTTAGGCAACCCCAAAATATCCTGTAGGTTCACAAGAACATAAAGCATATCTTTACCCGTGTTACAGAATGTATTATTCATATTTTATCCAAGATTCCGATTGACAAATAATTTGCAACATCTCTCTCATCAATCGTTGATAGCACTCTGTTCAAGAGCGAGTGCTCATGCATTTTATGTTTTTCAAGGGGAGACCCTGGTCTTGAAAGCTTTTTTTAATTTCTCTCCTGATTTCGCGCAATTCTCACATAAATGGTATTTTGAGTGTGAAGCAGATACAAGCTTACTTTCCCCTTTACATTGCAGTTTTCATGAAGACCTTCACTTTAGTTTCTGCAGGGATGGGCAGTATTTCAAATTATTTGAAATACATATTTTAAATACTTTGTGTATTTTGCCTTTGTATTTAATTACAAATTGGGTAATGTATTTGACGTGTGTATTTAAATACTAAAACATGGTTATTTAAAATACAATTGTAATTAAATATAATTTTGGGGGCGGAAATACATCCCTCAAATTTATTGTCAGTGTCCAGAGGAGGGAGAAAACTACGGTCTGCACCGAATGCAGTGTCTCTCAATCAAGCACAAGCGTTTAGTGACTTTGTGATTACGGTGCTAGTCCAGGGCAAGAATAGTGACGAAACCGACGTTCACAGGCAGAGTGGCTAAATAAGTGCCTGTGACAACTTGTGATGCTTTCCAGCCTGATTTTCATCCATATTTTTGCCTGGAACATTCTAAATGCGCGGGTCGTCCGAATTTGTATACACTCCGTGCGACGCGACGGGCGCGCCGCCGCGCGGCCGTTACTGAAGGTAGGCAGTGAGAGCCCCTGCGAAACGAAACCACCCCGCGTACATTGGTACGCATCGAAGTCGGAGCGGTGCGGTTGTGCTAGGTTGACAGCATGAACTGCTGGGTCGTTAAGTGCTCCGATAGTTATGCGTCGTGACTCGTGGGGACGAAGTTTCACAGTTTTTCAGCTCGCCGATGTTTTGTGGGACAGCGACAACGATGGACCCGTGCCGTACGACGCGAGAAATTTCTTCTCCCGGTCATGTCTGCCACTGTGTCGGCACGGCTGACATATTCTACACCGCCACTTTGCGCTCTGCGTTTGGTTTTTTACCAGTAACGCCTACATATCTCAGCTCGAACTGAAATGCCATCCCATACTCGCAGGTATGCAGTGCGAAATTCGTTGAAGGAATGCCATCGAAAGAAGTTTCGTCCCCATCGTACGTGTTGATGATATTTCCGGACCCGTGTGGCACGCAGTCTGTACTTCATGAAGAAAGATTAGGACGGTCAAAAAATGACAAATATGAATCTAAGGAAAACTACAATGAAACTTGGAATCACTGGACAATCGATGTTTGAGTATGGAAGTTTATGTGGTGTGCTTTCTTTTTTGATCAGCCTCCTTTTGGATGTGGAGACGCTGACGTCCCGAGTCTTGTAGACAACAATTTATTTTCTCGGCTTTAGAGCCACCTATCGCAAAGCTGTTCGAACTGGAAGTACCGTCCACTGGTCCCTTCATACCAGGGCTTGAAGCTTGGGGGGTCTCAGCGGTCTCGCCATCCCCCCCCCCCCCCCCTGATTTTAACGGATGGCCTGAGACCCCAGAATTAGTGAAATCAAATAAATCAATCAATCAATCAAATCAGTTTATTTTCTTCCACAAAAATACATTCGTGACAAGGGCGCTGGAAAAAAAGCTGCACGTAGCAGCTTGACGAGTCCCAGCGCCCCAATACAAAGCAGCAGCGGAACTGACATGAATACAAAAAGAGAACACAGTATATAACAATCACAAAAAAAAACAAAAAAAAAACAGCAAAAAGCATTTAAGTACACATATTTAGAGCTATCTGAGACGTAAATAGTGATTTTATATTACAAAATGTCTTGTATTGTACGACTGTTTACAGAGTATATATCAATTCCATGAGAAAAAAGAAGGTTTAACAATAGCGGTAATTGGTGGCGGTATCTCTGAGTGCCGAAATTTGTTCTAGATACAGGAAGACGCCAGGGGGGCCTATGACGCGATGCGTAAATGGACTCGTTTTTTTCTAGTTTAGCAAGGTCTAAGATTATGTTAATATTTTTTCTTACACATTGTTGGTAATTCAAAATCAATCTGGAAGAATACATATAATATATATCAATGATTTTATGTTTTTCAAAAAGAGGAAGAGAGTGATAATCACGAGGTACATTTTCAATTATTCTAACAGCCTTTTTCTGTAAAAGACGCAATTTGTCTAAATTGCTCTTAGTAGTTGTTCCCCACACTAAATGGGAATAGCAGATTATAGAATGAAAAAGGGAATTGTAAATTAACCTTTTGATGTTTACGGGAAGTATATGCCTGTATTTATTCATAATTCCAACAACTTTAGAAAGATTTTTATGAATGTATGTTACGTGATTATTCCATGACATATGACTAGAAAATATAACACCGAGAGTCTTAACGGTATCAACACATTCTAATTTGCATGACCCAAAATACAAATCGCGTGATATTTGAACATACGATCCCGGGCATTGAAATAGGACAACCTTAGTTTTAGTGGTATTAAGAATAAGAGAGTTAATATTTATCCAATTTTTTAATTTACCCAGAAAAACGTTTGCTATGGAGGTAAGTAGGTCTTCTTTGAAACTAGAAAAAAATATGCTGGTATCGTCGGCGTACATTATAAATTTAGCGGTATTTTCGATGCTTACTATGTCATTCACGTATACGAGAAACAATAGAGGCCCTAGAATACTACCCTGAGGAACCCCGGAGTAAATTCGTTCAGTAGTAGATACATAATTTCTAATTCGAACATATTGGGATCGATATTGTAAATAAGACGTTATGAGCGACAATGGGATACCTCGAATGCCATAACGTTCAAGTTTATTTAGAAGAATTAGGTGATTTATCCTATCGAAAGCTTTGCTTAAGTCTATAAATATACCCAACGTTAGAAGTTTTTTTTCAAAATTTTCTAATATCATTTCCTTCTGCACCAATAACGCGGTTTCCGTAGATTTATGTTTCCTGAAGCCGAACTGAGAATCAGTCAGTAGCGAGTATTTTTCAAAAAAATGTAGTAGTCGAGAGTGCACAATTTTTTCAATCGGTTTCGAAAAGACAGGAAGGATAGATATGGGTCGATAATTACTTATGTCATTGCGATCACCACCTTTATACACTACGGATACTTTCGCAATTTGCATCCTCTTAGGAAATATACCGGAAGACAATATAAGATTATACAGATGAGTTATACACGGCAATAGCAAGTCAACTACAAATTTCACCGGCCCAATTTGAAGATCCTCACAGTCATGGCTACGACTGTTTTTTATATTCATGAAAGTAGATTGTACTTCTTTAGTATCACATGGGTTTAAAAACATGGTTTCGTTTATTCTGGGGATATTATTTGCTGCAGAACTGTTATAACTACTTTTCCCTACGCTCACAAAATAATCATTAAACATATTCGCCAGCTCTACACCAGAAATAGTTCTATCGCCTATGCTTATACTAGTGACTGCTCTATCTTGGGTTGGATTCCGTATTAAGGAGTGCAAATGTTTCCATACGACTTCGGGCTGCTTTAAGCAAGATATATCAAATAGATCTGCATAATAACGGTGTTTAGCTCGTTTCAATTCTGCATTGACAAAGTTTCTAATTTTTTTAAATTCTAGCAATATTTTTTCATTTCGTGTCCTAAGAAAGTTGCCATAAAGAAAATTCTTTTTTTTAATAAGTCTTAATAGTCGTTTAGTGACCCATGGTTTTTTGCACTTCTTATTACAGTGAATTTCCTTGTACGGAAACGAAGAATAGTATGAGTCTTTTATCAGGTCTAAAAAGAGGTTATAGCACTTATCAACATCAGTTTCCCTCAACACGGGACTCCAATTGATAGCACCGATTTTTTCTCTAAACTTTTCGAGTGTTGTAGCGCTAATATTTCGGGACATTACTGGAGGGTTGATAGCCCTATTACATGGTACATTGTTATTAATGAACATAACTATGGGGAGGTGATCGCTTAACCCATAGCCCAGCACACCAGCACTAACGTTGTCTTCACAGTCGTTGGTTATAAACAGATCAATCAATGTTGACGTTGAGCACGAAACCCGAGTTGGAGGAATTATGACATTACTGAAATTATTTGACGTCAACAAATTCGCAAAGTCATCGGTAATGCGGGAAGCTTCGAGCATATTTATATTAAAATAACCACCCAGATACAATTTACAGCCTTCTTCGTTCGCAAAACAAAAAAACTCTTCCAAAAAATTTATAAAGACCGAAATATTTCCATTTGGCGGGCGATATAAGACAGAATAAATACAACAGTTTTTTCTAATGCAGAGTATTTCATAGTGTGGCGTAACAACAGAGTAATCACTGAGGAGCACAAAGCCGGAAACATTAGTCTGCAATGACACACCGCCTCCACGACCATAGTCGCGATTTAAGATAAAATTATAATAACCAGAAATAACAAAAGCATCATCATCGTCCTTATACCATGTTTCTGTTAACATTATAACGTTAAAAGGAGTTTCGATGGAATCAAAAAACAATGCAAGATCATCTCCTTTCGATCGTGCAGACTGTACATTTAAATGAAAAAAGCTAGTTTTTGTATTAGTCTGGATCTTTAAGAAATCACTTAGATCTTCTAGTGTCATAGTACCAAGATTTACAGCCATACCGAAAAAAAAAAGCGTACCCAAGCAAATACTTTCTTTCCTTTTCCCTTGGGGTTAGCAGATCTTATCAAGGTCGCCTTCACATGAGATTTGAACGATAGGGGCTCCATACGCCTTCCTAGCTAAAATCTTGCAATTTTGCACCCAGACGTATCGCCACTGGAATTGACGCTTCCTCGACACAGCCATTCCGAGCAACCTTTTCATAGAGGGGCACAAATGCTCGTTCACATATACGGGCGATTCTTCATTCAGGCCAAGGTCCTGGCACGTTATCCGTTTTTGCTTTGCTTTGTTAAGGACGCTATCTCTTTTTTGCCGGCGTCAAAATCATATCAAATCAAAATCATATCTTGCAATAAGATAGATTGGTTTCAGGGATGTGACATTTGGGGTTAAGGGTTGCAGGTATAGCGTGGAAACGGTCAGCAGTGGGGTTTATTTATGTGCACCTATTACATCTCATCAAACTTCCCCCCCCCCCTTTCCCCTACCTTCATGTAGGCACCCCCCTCAATTTACGGGGACTTTAAGCACTGCTCCTACCTGTAAAGTGTGCACCTCCCGGCCATGATGAGTGGTATTTTCTTGACAGCCTTTGACGATCAAAACCGGTTCCCATTTAGTTGCGCCGCCCAAAAACATTTCCACCTGGTTAAACTATGCCACCTCTTTAGGTATAACAACTGTTTTGTCAAATTATGGTTGGTAAACTACTGTGTGCCGAAAATCAGTACCTCGCACAACCATATTACTACACAACACCTAACCGCAAAAGCCATTGACGGCCAAACCGTATGTTGGCCGGCAACTTGGGTTTCTCTTTTTTGAAGCCACCTTTTGTAAAGTTGTTTCAATTGGAAGTACAGTGCACTAGTCCCTTCCTACCTGTAAAGTCTCCATCTCCCACGACGAGTGGTATTCTCTTGACAGCCCTTTCATGGTCAAAACCGTTTCCCATTCAGTTACGCCGCCCAAACCAAATTTCCACCTGGTTTCCCTTTGCCACCTATTTTTGGTATTATAACTGTTGTGTCAAGTTACGATCATGTCCAAAAACCTATGTGTCCAAATCTGCACTTCACACAGCCCGGTTATAACACAGCATTTTCGGTTCAATATTGGATATTTCTGACACCTTTATTCCGTTATTCGTTCGAACCATAACTTTCACACCTGCTGTCTTAATAAAACGTGGCCCATATAGTACACAAACTTAGTGAACACCTCACTCGCCTTCAAATATCATCGTTACAGCAGTCCCACGTTTACAGCGACGAGCGAAACAAATTTCCCACTGAGAGCAATTATGGTGGCGGCCGTCTTGCTTTTCGGAAAATTGCTCAAACCCCTTTTTCGACCGCAACTAAACAAATAACCCCTAATAACGACTCAAACTCAGTATATAAGAAGCAGAGAACAGCTCAATGTCCTTCTTACGTCTGCCCCAGCACTCATGCAACGTCACGCTTAACCTATCGGCTCAAAAAGCAAAAGTTCCGTCCGTGCGCGCTTCCGCCGCCACAGCTTCGCACGCGAAAAGGCGCCGCAGGCTGCTGAGCGCGCCTCACTGTCGAACGCCAGCTACTCCGCTAGCGGCGCTACGCGCGTTTTTCAAAGCGCCCTCTATAGTTCCCGCACGGAGCGTGGGCGAGTTGCAACATTAAAAAATTCTCTAGCTAGTGCTGCGCGTCTTGGTCATCTCGGTTCTTTGTTGGTCTATACCAAAATTTAATCGACAAAAAAAGCGGCTTGAAGCTCTGTACTTTCTTCACCTATTGCGTCTAAGCTGATTACATTTTTTGTGATTATATTTCTATTACGCTACTAGAGCCTCGCACACTAACTCCCGAGTGTGAGATGCAAAATTAAAATGAGATACCCAGAAACGCCGCGACTGGGGCCGTACCAAATGTGTCGAGAAAGGTTTGAAGGTCAGTTTTCACGTTCTCGGTTCGTCCGAGAATCTGGATATGTTCCGTGAAAAGGGAAAAGCAGACGTCGTCGGACAGCGATTGCTTGGGCAGGAAGCACTTTGGGTTGAATTCACGGATGCTTGTGGTCATCAGATTTATTTGTTTTCTTCCAACATGAACGCCAGAGAACCGTCAAGTTGTGCGGACTACGTTCAGTCTGCTCTTTCAAACGTTTCTTCTTGTCGTCTGCGATATACCAAAAGTACCGAGCCAACATTTGGCCGGTAGACCAAATGTTGGCTCGGTACTTGTGATAAGAAGTAAGTGCAGGCCTCAAAAGACTTAAATTTGAAGGTTGGTAAGCAGGCTCGATGTAAACAGTAGGTCCAAGGAGATGTTGATCATAGTTACCAGTGACCATCACCGACTTATGCCTAATTCACTTGGTCCGATTCTTCTTGCGACTTTCAGTATCGACGTCGACCATCTCAGCTGTGGTTCACGCTTTTGCGGCCCGAGCGGCGTTCCGACTGAAAATTGCAAGCGAAATCTCATCATGCGAACCAGGCTTTAGCGTATATACTGCGGTGTCCACGCGGAATGTATCGCCACATGTCACATCATTCACGTGAAGTTTTGCGGTGTATATAATGAGCCTCGGTAATTTCACTGACGCCGCTCAAGTAGTCAGACATCGCCAGGAAGACGTACAATTAACAATTCGAACGCGAAAAAGGGTAGGGGGACTCACACCGACGCCGACAACATCGCATTTCAATGGTTTGTTTATGGGCGACGGCGAACTTCTTGCCTACACCCCCATCGTGCATGCGCGGCGCCGGTGGCGTCCGCTAGAGGCGCTCCGGTTTGTTTGTAAACATGAGTTGGTGTATAGCTTGCCGCCAGATGCAATCGTAGAGCATGTACCCACCACTTAGAGCTACGCGAGACTGGTTTGATTAAAATGGAAATGGGGGCACGGCCCTCTTTTCGGCCCATACTCACGTTGCTTCATGTATCAGATGCTCGCCGGGATCCTTGCTGTCGCGGCGAACTTCGACGGGGCGGCGGCGTTTCCCATCTCGGAGCCATGGACGCCACTATCCGGATTTGCGACAATGTCAACCGGCAGCCCATTCGAGCCAGCGGAGGCTACAGAAACGTTTCTGGGTTTCCTTGAAGACCGGCAGATGGCTAGGCTCCGAGGGACACTTCCGGATCCGCACCACCACAGCCACAAAAGGTAGCTACCTCGTCCGGCACCACTGGGGCACTGCACCCTTTTCGGCCCATACTCACGTTGCTTCATGTATCAGGTTGGTTACTTGAAATGCTCTAAATGCTATCGAACAAGTAATCTACTGCTTGTGAGAGTGTCGTGCCCTATCAGCAAACGCATGCTGCACTGATGTTCTTTTCTTTTTGGTGTCGGGTGATTGATGGGTTAACATTCCTGTTCTTCGACTCCTGTCTTTTGTTCACGGAAGCATTGCTCCTCTTGGCAGGAGACGTGGAATCAAACCCCGGTCCCATGTCTAAGGCTGAAACTGAACAGTTGGGAAAAATTGAAAGCATACTCTTAGAATTGCAGTCTGGACAAGCAACTGTTTTGGCAAAGCTAACAGGCATAGAAAAAAGGCAAGCTGATCTTGAGAATAAGATTGATGGCGTAATTTCAAAAACAAAGGTACTAGAAAGACGCGTGGCACATGTTGAAGAAAGTGAGTTTAAACTTGAAGCCAAATTAGACAACCTTGAAAATAGAAGTCGACGATCAAACTTAGTATTTTTTGGTGTTCCCGACAACTCCAGAAAAGAGACATGGGAAGAATCTGAGAAACTAATAAGGGACATCTGTAAAGAAATGTTATCTATCGACAATGTTGAGATCGAAAGAGCCCACCGCGTGGGAGCATTTAAAGATGAAAAAAATTGGCCTATCGTTGCGCATTTTGCTGGCTGGAAAGCCAGAGAAAATGTGAGGCGAAATGCATTTAGGTTTAAAAATACCCCGATCAGCGTCTCAGAAGACTTCAGTCCCCTAGTTGAAGAAAAACGGCGGCAACTCTGGAACTACGCAAAAGAGAAACGGCAATATAAAGAAAACCGGGTCTATTTGAACTATGATAAGTTAGTAATAAATGGGCAGACGTTTATCTGGGACAGCGATACGTTTCAACCAGTCCTGCACCGTCCCACTAATTCCGAGATCGTAGCAGAATGACGACACCTACCTCCTATCAACAGACCAAGCAAAGATGACATTGTTGATATGCCAGAGAAACCTATGGTTCTGGTTGTGAATTGCCGTAGCATCATGAATAAAGTTGATGAGCTTGCATCTTTAATAATGACTTTGAATCCACAAATTGTTATGGGGACCGAATCTTGGTTGGACGATACGGTCTCTGACACTGAGGATTTTCCGCCGGGATTTACGGTATATCGTAAAGACAGACATCGACACGGAGGAGGAGTCTTTTTGCTGGTTTCATCCTGGTGGAGTAGCTGTGCAGTTAAATTTGAGAATGACTCTGAGTCGGTGTGGTGTCGCGTTCGTTTTCCCGAAGGGAACACTGTGGTGTTTGGAACTATCTACCGTCCGCCAGACGGAAATGAAACAAGCATTTCTTTACTTTCAGATATGTTATCAGTGATACCAGACACCGTCTTTCTGGGAGGCGATTTTAATTTGCCAGACTTTTCGTGGTTAACTGGGACGACGGCAAGAAGCAAATCGCGTGTTTATCCTATGTTCACAGAATTGATAGATACATTTGGTCTGATTCAGTATGTCATGGAGCTGACTCGACTGACGGCAGTTTTAGATCTCGTCCTATGCAATGACCCAAATATTGTTTCTAGCGCCCAGGTATATCCTAAGTGATCACGATGTTGTTGTTACCGAGTTGAATGTATCAGGCGTACCTGAACAGAAACTAGAGCCACGCAGAGTACTCATCTATGAAAAGGGTAATTTTGACGCCATCAATGATGCATTACAGACATATTTTTTCACTTTTTCATGTTTATCTGAGTCTTGTACAACAGAGGAGATTTGGATTTTGTTTCGCAATAAAATATTGAAATTTGTTGAGGCTTTTGTACCTTCAAGAACTTTGCGGCAAAGGCGTAAACAAAAACCTTGGTTTAATGCCGAAATACGGAAACTACTGGGGAAAGCAAGGCGAGGTTACAAAAAACGTTGTAAAGATAACCCTGTCCTTAATTTTCAAGGGTTAAAATATATTAATACTCAATTAAAAGTAACATTAAAGTTAACTAAACAGTCATTTTTTACCAGGCTAAACTGAGATCTTAAACGAAACCCAAAGGTATTCTGGAAATATGTGAAGACATGCAGGAAAGACAATATTTCTATCCCAGTTCTTAATGTTGACAGCCAAATGTTAAAGGAAAATGTGGAGAAGGCAGACTGCTTCAATTCCTGCTTTAAATTGGTATTTTCTCCGGGACTCTCTGGGTATGTGGTGGAGTCACCGAATAGTTGTTTTACTGGCATGATGGCGGATATTGATATTGATGTTCATGGTACTGCCTCCCTTTTGCGCGGCCTAGATCAGTCAAAGGCTACTGGCCCTGATGGTATATCACCTGTTATTCTCATTAATTGTTCCGAGATTGTATCACAGTACTTGTCTATTATATTTAAAACAATACTTGAGACAGGGTTGGTCCCAATAGATTGGAAAACGGCGCATGTGATTCCTGTTTTTAAATCCGGAGATAAGAAACTTGTAGAAAATTATAGGCCTATATCACTAACGTCAGTTTGCTCTAAGCTTTTTGAGCATATTTTATATAGCGCAATGTTCAAATATCCCAGCATGGCTTTCGGAGTGGATTTTCATGCAACACGCAGTTAGCAGAGTTCCAGCATTACCTATTAAAAGCAAATGACAAAAATACGCAAGTAGACGCAGTCTTTCTAGATTTCAGCAAAGCTTTCGACACGGTACCACACAACCTGCTGCTGATAAAACTAGCCTCTATAAATATTAATAGTAAGGTACTAAATTGTATACGAAATCACTTAAGTGACCGTGAGCAATGTGTTTTCTTAAATGGAAGTAAATCCTCAGTCGTTTCCGTGACTTCAGGGGTCCCCCAGGGTAGTGCTCTCGGACCGTTACTGTTTTTAATTTACCTTAACGACATTGTACAAAATATTCAGTCGACAATAAAACTTTTTGTTGATGATTGCGTTATTTACAGGGAAATAAATTCGACGAGTGACGTCAAGATCCTACAGAGCGATCTAGATAAGGTAGCATACTGGTGTAACCAATGGAACATGAGCCTAAATATTGGAAAATGTAACCTCGTTAATTTTGCTAGAAACGTCTCAAAATTTTTTCAAGTTATACTATCAAAAACCTGACAATCGGTAATGTCTCTGAATGTAAATATCTTGGCGTTTATTTTCACCAATCACTTAAATGGAATAAACATATTGACTACACAATTAATAAGGCCAGTAAAATGTTGTTTTTTATCCGTAGAAATTTCAAACACGCGTCCCGAGACGTAAAAGAAACTCTTTACTTCTTGCACGTAAGGTCAATGCTTGATTATGCGTGTGTTATATGGGATCCCTACCAGCAGTATCTGATCGATAGATTAGAGAAACTTCAAAATCAAGCAGCGCGATTTGTTAGTAACAACTACGATCCATACGCTAGTACTACAGAGGTTAAAACCATGCTGGGATGGGAGCCCTTGAGCATTCGAAGGCAAAAATTAAGATTAAAGTTTTTCCATCGCATTTATTATAATAATACTGGTATTAATAAGAATGAGTATCTTTTGGGGCCAACGTATGTTTCAGCTAGGTGTGATGACTCTAGAAAAGTTTTTGAATATTCCTATAAAACAAACAGCTTCTGTCATTCTTTTTTTGTAAAGACAATTAGGGAGTGGAACTTGCTGCCTGATGATGTGGTGACCACCTTGGACAACAGTGTATTTTTTTTCTCGGCTGTATATCTAATCTGTGCGGACAAGTGATCACTTTGTGTTTTTTATGTATGTGTGTTATTTCATGCCCCTCCTACAATAATGCCCTCGAGGCGATGTAGGTACTCTGTAAATAAATAAATAAATAAATAGATTGTCCTTTGAGAAATACAAAGTAGTAGTAAACTTTATAACTTGCCATGTAGTTCTTTCCTTCTTCAAAACTTTCCTTTTTGTGCAAATAGCACCAACAGCCGGCATTGAATTAAAGTATGCCTAAGGTCGGTAAGCTTTTGGGCGGGGGGGGGGGGGGGGGGGGGGGGGCGGGGGGGCGGGGGCGGACGGGACACCCTGTCCAATGCTTACCAAACTTAGAGGGACCAAACAAGCCTCTCCACACTTTGATTCTTTTCGAAGTGCTCATGGGTGGTTCAACCCTTCCTTCAACTCTTATTCAGAAAATATGAAAGCTTAGAAAAATTTGGCTGTTTCCCTTAAAGAATTAATTTTTTTCAAATGTTTTTTCCTACTTTTTGTGAACGTAGCACACTGCCCAATTTTTTATAGCCTTTTGCAACGCATCTTTATGTGCCTACAAAAGAACTGAAGAAACCGAAACTTAACCATCTCCAAAAACACAGGTCAAGTAGGGAGTGACGCCAAGTGTGAATAATAGGTATCGGTAGCATTTAGGAGATTGAGACTCTGCTTACTGCTGTGGGTCAGAGCATGCCACTTCGAAGCGGGGTTTGAAGTGCGGGCCTCTGAAAGTGATCTACTAAAGCTCCTTAATATGTGAAACAAAGATGATCGTTCCAAGCGGAAATTTAATTAACTGGCAGTCATGAGCAATTAATTTTTCCTCCATGCACTGTGCGAGATCGTAGAGCCCTGCGCGGATAACAGTTTGAGTATCCACATCCGCAGACTTTGTATCCGCACCCAAACCGCATCCGCAAAGTTTTTACATTATTGTATCCGATCCGCAGACTTTGTATCCGAACCGCATCCGCAAAATGTGGAACCATGTCGATGTTCTTGCTAACCACCAGAGGTTATGATTACATTTAGACTAGCAAAATCAGCGGAAATCACGCCGACCGCGTTCTTCCGCACCGCACGGAGAATTGGAAACCTTCACCTGTGGCCTCTGAACTCTCCCGTGAAGACTAAATGCCTGAAAAAAAAAGGTCATAAAAAATAAAAATAAATAAGTTCGGAAAGAGAGGAGGAGAAGCAGTGGTAGGAAGACAAAGTCCTGTGATGTTACCGAGCGTATGGGGACGTCTCGAGTCTCGCGGTGTTTCGTGTCAGCCAGTGGGCAGATGCGCCGCTAAGTCAGAGGCCGCTTGATCGGATCGACTAACGTGTTATTCGAGAAAGATCGCGGCCTGCAGGCACCCAAATAAATACATGAAAAGAGAACTTTTTTTTTTGCTTCGGGCGGCTATGGAGATTGCGCGCGGCAGCCGCTGGCATTGCTGGCGCCCTGGCGTCGCAACTGGAGGAATATGAAGTACCAGACTTTCTTGCAAAAAAAAAAACAGGCAATTTACGGGCTGCCTATATGCGTGCGCCGCTGATCCTGAAACTGTGCTAACCGTGGCGCCACAGGGTTTGCAAAGTTGCTTGCTCGCTGCCGAAGCGCTTTTGTTTTTGGTATCATGACCGGACCACTCTCTGCGGAAAGGGGGAGGTTTCTTCTAATTTCTTATGACTTGTTCGTTTGAGGTTTTCTTTGCCCAGAGAAAGTTTTCCGCTCTTTCCCTGCCAAAGAACTAGCTTTCTCGGGATGATTGATGCCCTGCATTCTTAACTTTTTTTTTCTGTAGACTCGTTTTGTGGATATATGTTTCGTGGACAGCTTTTCACGGACATGCATTTCATGGACACACGGTTTGTCGACGCCATACATTTTGCGTGCACATGCCCCTGCAACGTTTTGTCGGCAACATATTTCTTCACTAAGCCTCCAAAAGCTAGCGTGCGATTCACTAAGGCGTGCTTAACCAAACCATGTCCCCCTCCCCCTTGCAGTGATGGAAGTGCTGCGCCAATTGCGCCAAATTGCGCCAAGGACGCAATCCTGCTACATGTAGCTCCAAATTGTCATTTTACCGAAGAATTGCGCCATGCCTGCGCCGAGATGAGATATAGCAATAAAAAACAAAAATTTAAGTCTTATCAGAGCGCGTGGCGGTACCACGGTATTTTCCACGCCGCAACTGTTACGCAAACCGAAACTGCGAGGGCACATTATCATCATCATCATCATCATTGAAAGGAACAACGTTAGCAACATCTGAGACCAAAGCCGCAGAGACTAAGTGAAGAACCATCCCACTGAGCAGCCTGTTTAAAAGAAAAGGCCGAGCTTGTGGATGTTTTCAATATTGGCCCGCCCTGTTCCCGTGCGCTAGCTACCAGCGAAGTCAAAGCTAGTGCGAGCCTAATGCTCTGTGCATTCCTGACTCGCGCGCGGGCTCGTGCAGCGTGGGCACCGTTACGGGCTCCATGCGCGCGCTTGTAGCTTCGGCTGCGCTCGCACCGAAGCTGAAACGAAGTATAGTTGAGTTGCACCAAACTCTGGATGTAGTGCTGGTAAAGCCTCACCGTCCTTTTCGGAGCATAAAGCACCGCGCGACTCGCGCGACTGCGGTGTCTGCTCTGCGGATGTCACTTCTTTCAGCGCGTCGATGCATGCCGAGGAGCGCACTCAACGGGTTAACTCGCCGTGATCCGATCGTGACTTCGCCAGCACGTCGAAAATGAATCGGAATTTTTGAAGCGAATATCAGACACCGCAATGTTTGAAGCTGCTGCCCGGAAGACAACTCTAATCTGAACTAAAACATTCCACAAGAGTGAGGGTCGTTAGATGCTGCTGCATATACCTTAAAAGAAGCGCAG